GGCCCACCCCCGCCCCGGGCGGCCCAGGAGACCCAGGTGTTGCTCAGAGACTGACGCCGCCGGGTCCTCTGCACACGCTGCCTTGCTGCCCTGCGGCCTCCTCCCGCGGGGTAAAGACCAACCGGGTGCAGCGGGCACGGTAGGTGCCGCCCGGGCGGACGGGCGGGTGGGGGGCTTGGCAGTAAGGCCCAGTCTGCCGGAGGCGCTGCCCACCCAGGGCTCTGCTCTCCCTCAGGCCCCCACTGCATGCACAGGCGTCTGGGGGGCTCGGCCTGGCCTCAGCCCCAGCCCCAGGGTGCGCTCACTGAGATTGGGGACACATGCTCCCTTGGGGCACTCGCCCAGGCCCCGGGGGTACTCACGTGGCCGCCCGGGCCCTGGCATCACCACTGCCAAGAGGCACGCAGGCCCTGGGCCAGGCCAACACTCGGCCCGTGCCTTGGCCGGGGCCCTCGGCCGCAAGGTCGCCCCTTCGCCTGGCCCCAGCACCAGCCGCGTTCCCCGCCTGCGCCTCGGGCCGGGTGCTGAGCCCCGCACCCCTCTGCCAGTCTAGCCAGGCTGCGGCCTGGGGCCTGCGCAGCCTCTTCCGTTCAGCCCAGGCACCCCAGGGCTCCGCTCGCAGCTCCTTCCTGCCCAGTCTCCGCCCGGCTCCTCCCTGCTAGCGCCACCTCCTTGGGGGCGGGGGAAGCAGGGAACTGGGCCCCCCACCCTGGGGACTCCGTTAACACCAGCACCTGTGTACCCACGTTTCAGCCGTGGGTGCTCGCCCCGCCCCTGGGTTGCTCCCCCTCGCCCTTGGGTGTCTTCCGAGCTGTGAGCCCTCTGGGCACCGTGTCCCGGGCCTAGCTACTGCGCGGCGCTGCGGTCAGCGTGGTGGGACGTCGTGACCGACTCAGCGGCTCCCTGTCTGGGTAGACGTCCGGCTGGGTGGAGGAGGGGGAGGCCCTTCCTGCCCTCCACGCTGGGCCCGCCTGGAGCCAGCGAGCTCGTTGTGCCAACGCTTGACCGCCGAGCTGTTAGGGCGCCTATCCGCGCCCTGCACCGGCGGGCGTGGCTCCCCTAGACATGGGTGCTGAGGGGGCTCCCAGGCATGGGTGGCCCTCAGGGCTCATCAACATGTCGAGCATGCCCTTTGACCACAGGGCTTCCATCCAACCCCCCCCCCCCCGGCTACGTGGGCGCCAAGCGTGTGGGGGGCGGTGGCAGCCAGCCTGGCCCGTGGGAGGGACCGGCCGCTGAACACCTGCCACACCTGGGCGCCGCCTCTCTGACGTGTTAATCAGCAAAGCTGCGCCGGCAGCCGCTCCGCACCCCCGCGCCCCCACTGGGCGCCCTGAGCGCCTTCCCACCCCCGCAGGGGGCTGCTCACTGCAGCCTGCCCTGCTCTGTAGATGCGGACACACTGCCGACTGACAGAAAGCTGTGCAATGAAATGCAGAGGCCCCGGGTGTCCCCTCCTGGTTACTCCTAAGAGGACCGTCTCCCGGAACCTGGGTCCTCGCCCGAAACTAGGGACTAGCGTCGGTCCCGCGCCAGGACTGACAGCAGCCGTCTCTGGGCTCCTGAGTTTTCCAGGAATGTCCCTTTGCTCCTCCAAGATCCAAGCGAGATCCCAGAGACACTGAGATGTTGTTTCTTCAAGAAAGTTCACGGAGGTGGGAGTGTCTGCCACATAACCCACCCCCAGCGCGACTCTGGCTGTGGTGTCATGGGGACGAGGGGACATTGGCACCATCTAGTTGCAGGGCACTCCACCCCAAGAGACCCCAGTGCTGCCCGTGCCTGCCCCCAGCAATCTGTCCTGGCTCCGAGGGAGTGTCTGGGGCGGTTAGTCTTGCCGATGGGACCCTACGTGTGGGGTGATATATTTTTAAAGACTTATTTATGCACACAGAACTGGGGTACAGGCCAGATGTCGGGGCGGTGAGAGGACTCACCAGAGACACAGGACAGATGGACGAAGGACACTGCTGAGGGAGCAGGGGGAGTAGGAGGGGTCTGCCGCACCCTGGGGTCCCTCCCTGGCCTGTTCGACTGACACTGAGGCAGTGCAGCGCTTCAACCCCTGCGCCACCAGGGGGTCTGCGGAGGTTGCTTTGAGGAAGGGGCTCTGGAACCTGGCGGGCAGGCCTGGGGCCTCGTGGAGGGCCTGCACACGGGGTCTCCGGATGTCTCGGGCCAGGGAGGGCTCCCCGGCGGCCCTGTGCTGCTGGGCCACAGGTCGGGCTTTGCACGGCGCCTGCCATGGGTGGGTGGTGGAGCAGATGGGCTGCCAGGCGCGAGCTGCCCCTGGGTCGCCTGGGCTGCTGTCCTGGCCCACTGTGGTCTGGGCTCTGGGCCTCTGCTCAGCGCCCTCTAAGGTTCAAGCAGCATGAGCCGACCCATTCCCAGGCCCCTTGGCCAGAATCAAAGGCAATGAAATGGGGACAGGACTCCGGTTTCGCCATCTGACAGCTGGACGCGGGCCAGAGGCAGCACCTCAGCGCCGTCCCAAACAGAACTGAGGCGCCCCCAAGGCACCAGACGGTGGCTCTGACCAGCCCACTGGCCGGCCGCCCCTACAGCCAGCCCCGAGCCCCGCCACCTTGGGCCCCCGTGGCGGCCTCGCCGCAGGGAGGGTCGAGTGGGGCAGCGTCTCTGAGAGCCTGCCAGCGCCTCAACCACGGGGTGTTCAGTGTGGTGCCCGGAAGGCCCTGCAGTCCCCCTCCTCGGTCTGGCCCCAAACAGTGGAGAACGGGCACTCACGGGCCTACGCCAGTCTCGCAGCCACCTTGTTCGCAGTCACCAGGAGGGGGAGCCAGCCACGCATGGACAGAGCGGGCCTAGCCCGTGTAGTGGGGGTTCTCCAGCCAGAGGAGCCAGGAGCAGACAGAAAGCCCCCGGGGTTCTGTGTGTGGGGAGAGTGGGAGCGGGCAGCTCCCTTGCGTGGCTGTGAGGACAGCGGCCCCATGGGGCAGGCGGGGCGGCGGCCGGTGCGCCAGGCGGGCACGGCCATCGGTCACACTTCAGGTTCATTCAGGGTCACAGAAGTACGGAGCTGGGGACAGGACTCGAGGTCAGCAGGGCCCGTGGCCAGCGCCCCACCCGGCCTTACACTGCTGTCATGTGTGCTCTTTCCCATGTGAGGCCAGGAGAGATGTCACGCGTGTCTCTGTTCCACTGAGATGGAGCCGGGGGTGGGTCACAAGGGCCAGTTAGCACAGGAGAAGGGGGGCGTCCTGGCATCTTCTCAGTCAAGGCTCAAGATGTTCCCTACACAAATAGGGTCACTTCCACAGAGCCAGGAAGTAGATCTGTGGGGGCTGGAGACTGGGGGGGAGTGGGGAGCCTGCTAATGGGTATGGGGTGTCTGTCCAGGGTGCTGAACTCGAGGGTGGTGAAGGCTGAACAAGTCGTGAATGTGATTGATGCGCTGGGGTGCTCACCCAAAGGTGCTGCGAGGGGGGCCACCGAGTGGCAGCCCCCTCCCCCACGCTGGCCCCCCAGTCCTGGCTGCACTCCGCCCAGCTAGGGCTCCCCGGTGGTCACAGACACTCCGTGGCTGTTTCTGGGTGAGGCGCGCTGTCCCTACCGAGCGCTGGCGGCTCTCTCCCTGCTCAGAAGGGAGCATGAGGGGGTGCAGCAGCCTTTGTTGCAAGGGAACGGCAGGGAGCCCCTCGCGGGAACGCGGAGGCCCCTGGCCGCTTGCCTGGGCTGGTCACTCATCCTCCCGCCGGGGCGCTGGGGCGGTGAACCAGGCGGACAGCCGCCCGCAGCGCCCTGCTAGCTCAAGCCCCCTTCGGCGGGGCTCCCCGTAACGGCGGCCACGCGGTGCGAGCCACTGGGCTGCCGGTCGTGGGGTCCCCACGCCCAGCCTGGTCCCAGGCAGCTCTCGAGCGCGACCTGGGGCGTGGCCACCAGCCAGCCAAGCCCAGCCCGACTCTGATCCCTCAGGCCAGTGGGCCAGCTACGCGGAGGGGCCGCGAGGGCGCTGCGCCGCGCC